CACACACACACACACACACACACACACACACACACACACACACAAAGACACACAAATCTCTCCATTGCTCGACATCGGGATAAGGATGAGATCTGTGGTGGTTGGTTAGTTAAGCCGCTGTGAGATCTGTGGTGGTTGGTTAGTTAAGCCGCTGTCCACACTCCCCTGGACACTTCTCCTTCCTTTCTATTATTCGTTCAATTTCTCTCTTCCAATAACACGATCCGACCCGTAATAGTCCTGTTCATGGATCCCCGCCGTCATTAGTACACCCTACTCCTCCCCCCCCTCCTCTTCCCCCCCCCTTCCCCTCCTATCCTCCCCTGCTTCTTCTTCTTCTTCTTCGCTGTCCCCCTCCCGCCAGGTCACTTGGGCGACCATGGCTATCAAAGATCAGGGAAATCAAGGATGTCAGGGAACCCTCTGCTCTTCAGCGGTCGACCTGGACGATTTCTTGTCGTGTTTTATCTACCACTTCAAGGATACGTCGCCCGAGAACGACGCTCCGCGCGTCGGCTATGCCGCCGTCGGGACGGAGGTGGTACCCTATTCTCGTCACGTTATGCGATCTCCTAATGTAGCCACGGCACCGGAGTTATTTTGCGCTCACATCCCTCCCCAATACTTCTGCTCGCTCTGCAGCCGGCTGATGCTGGACGCTACCTTGTTGAATCCCTGCGGCCATTATTTCTGCGGCACCTGTGTAGAGACAGAAGTTCTGTCTAGAAGACGTGCCAAGTGTCCTCATTGCCGTCGCCATTGCCAGAAACGACGGAGTCTTCCGGCGGGAGATGTGCGGGAAGCCCTCTGGAAGATGCGAGTGTACTGCCCCTTCTCAATGATCTACGACGTCTGCTCTGGTCGCTTTGTTCCAGCCAGCTTGTCCGAGAGCAGTGAGACTTGGTCGTCCCAGATCAGTGGGACTTCGGTGTCCCAAAGCAGTGGGACTTCTGTGTCCCAAAGCGGTGGGATTGCCATGTCCCAAAGCAGTGGGACTTCTGTCGACGACCAGCAGCATCGTGATGACCAGCAGCTCGGCCACCAAGAGCAGCAGGAGCAGGAGGACCACGTGGCGCAAGAAGAGCAGCAGGAGGAGCACGTGGAGCAAGAAGAGCAGGAGGAGGACCACGTGGAGCAAGAAGAGCAGGAGCAGCGGGATCAGGAGGTGACCAGGGAGGCCAGGAGAAAACGTTTTTGCTCGCTGACTATGGTGCTGGCTAATCTGGAAAACCATGTCCGGAGGTGCGGCTACCGTCCAGTTTATTGCCCCTATGAGCAAGATGGATGTGCACAGATCATCCTGGATGGCGATCTAGGGCTGCATCGAAGGTTCTGTAGGTTTAATTACAGTTATCCTGTGTGCGACACGTGTCACTGCGCGATAGGCGCAGACGACACGATGGCAGAGCATCTGGCAAACGACTGCCTCCTGCCTTGTCCGTACGTAAAATACGGGTGCGAGGACAGAATGCTGCATGATGACGTGGACGATCATCTTGACACGTGTCCTTTCGCGGGTACTGATGTGCCGGACAACGCCGAGATTTCGGCCGGTGATCCGCCTATTTTGCCCAGTCGCGATGGCGCTGAACCTGGTCCTGATCGCTGCAGTCCTGCGGTCCACCAGGATCCAACCCCTGCGCAAGCGCAAGCAAAACCGCGCAAACTCACCAGCGAGCCCCGCCCAACGTGGTACCGTAGGGCAAGGGATCGAGTCTGGATCCCAGGCCCGCGTAGCTGCTTCGCTTGCCGTGTCAAGGACGCAACGGCCTGACTGGCAGGAAGCGCAGGGGGCAGCGAGAGACACTGAGGGCCAGATCCCACTAGCCCCTATTGTTCATTTCTGACCGTCGATCTTCGTAATCGAGGGTGAAAAATGAATGATCCAGGGTAGTGGGATCTGACCCTGAGAAGAGCCCCTCCCCTCATTTGTTCCCTCCCCTTCCCCTTCCCCCTCCCCCCCCCACCCCACCAATTAGATTACGAGGCACCCTCACAGGCTTACACTCCCTTTTCCTTTTGATCCCCCTTTTCCCTTTTCCCTCAGAAAGATCATCATTCAATTCGTCTCCTTTCGGGGGTGATGTGTTGGTCCTTCGTTATGGACCTTAGATAGATAACAGGGATCCACGGCTTGAAATAGAGCACCTGGGCAACGGGGACGTTGCCCGGGTTCTCCCGTATGTTTTTTTTGGCTGTGGATTTTATCAGTTTGCCACGGTGCTCCAATTGGATTTGCATAAATGTATATACATACACATAAATAGCCTGCTCTAGTCTGCAAACGATCTGGTCCGCTGGATTTGCATAAATGTATATACATACACATAAATAGCCTGCTCTAGTCTGCAAACGATCTGGTCCGCTCGGAATGCACATGGACGTGTGGATGGCCAAGTTCGTGGTCTTTGTCTGGACGTTGTGATGCCCAAGTGCATGGTCTGCGGCTGCACGTGGTTCATTTCATAATTGCTCTATTGGTGACCCGTGTAGTTCATGAATACGTCGTGCATGAACGGGGCCATGTCTCGATTTATGTCTGTCATCCTTGCCCGGGCGCCATGCTAATTTACTTTGTCTCGACTTATGCGCGTCATGTCACAAGACCCATGTAGTTCATCAATACATAGTTCGTGAGCGGGTTATTTGTGTCCCATGTAGTCCATTGACAGGCTATGTGGGGTTATTTGTGTCCCATGTAGTTCATTGACAGGCTATGTATGTCTCATGTGTTGTTCATGAACAGGCTATTTATGTCGTCCGTAGTTCATCGGGAGCGGGCTATTTATGTCTCTCCCACATTACTTCATGACAAACGGGCCATTTATGTCCCTCACCTTCAGAATGGAGGGGCTATTATTTATTTCCGTGATTACCACCTTCCCCCCACCTTTTTTTTTCCTCCTTTGCGGCTCATTAGCACAAAGCAGTATCTCTCTTTGCCTTTGGCTTGTGCTCCACAGTCATAGTCTGCTGATTTTCCAATTATTTCATCTTGAGGCGGAGGGTTTTTTTTTTTTGTTTTTTTTTTTTGAGGCGGAGTTGTGCTGCGTGCCCAGCGGCCTAGCTCAGTTGGTAAGGCTAGCAAGTCGCATTCAAGACGTCTTGCGTTCAATCCCCCTGTCCATGTGCCTCGTGTACCTTTCTGGGCAAGCTTGGCACCTGCCACCTAGAGATAGACCACTGGATCCCCCAACCCGCAATGATCAGCGTCGCAACCCCTGATTGTTCTTAGGGGAGGGGACCATAGGGAAGGCGCAGGGATTAACCCTGTTGGCATGGGCCCTGATGCTACTGGCTGTCCCCTGGCCAGTATCACCCACCTGCAAGTCGGGTCCAGCTCCCGCCGTGTTCTCTCATGAACACGGTTGTTGGTGCTTGGGGGTTCCTCGTAATACTATGATTAGGAGTAGTAGGACGGAGGTAGTCTGAAACTAAGAGAAGAATCTCGCTTAGTTAAAAAAAAAGCAAAAAAACTGAGCAGACCTGGGCTACCAGCCAGGCCGCCGGGTCATCTTGTTTGGCCAGGCTGCCCCCGCCGTGCAAGGACCATAGAAGGTCCCAGCAAAGGAGAAAAAATTATGGAGAAAAGAAAGTTATCCAGAAAAAGAGACTGAACAACTTTTGCCTCCGGCTGACATAGAAATTCTTTACCAAATTCAAGAAAACAGCGTATATATATCGTCAAACAGATCTGCCCCGTAAACTGTAGGGAGAAGTGGACAACAAGCGAGGGGCTGCGACAAACTGTTTCGTCAGAGTTTCACCGACTCATATATATCGTCAAATAGAACTGCCCGGTAAACCGTAGGCAGAGAGGGAGAAGAGGACAACAAACGAGGGGCTGTGACAA